ATATATCATGAATGATGAACATGTATAACTAAAATCATGAGGAACAATGGGAGACTCTTCATATAACCGACATGCCATGATAGAGCTTACGTGGTCCCAACTATCAAACTCAAGTGGGTAGAACCATCCAAAGGCTTGCCAGGGCTAGGGACGAAACCATGATACCGATATCAAGCTCAAGGCCCAATTAGAGCAGGGGATAGCTCACAAGGGAGGTCCCAAAGTATATATAATATGTAAATCTACGTTGGCGCGTAATTCTGAGGGCATAGGGTTGATCGACCCTTAGCCTACTCAGTGCTAGACACTACTCGCAAAAACATGCATATGCGCTCCATCATTTTTCAATGAAGCTGACCATCGTCTACTGACGAAGTTGAATAGTCAAATACATATCAAATTTGAAATTATATATGAGGAGCTTTTTCTCAAACCATACCACAAGCTAAACGTAAAAGGGGAGTCTTAACTCCAAAATCATGTGGTAAGCTTAAATTGTGAAATCATAAATCATACTTGAACATATGGGAATTGCCCAATACTTTAATCATGATTGTAAATATTTAATTCACTTGAAAACATGATCATAAACATGGGAAACTTGAAAACATGCTTTTCATCAATAATATCTCATCATACTTTAACGTTCATCATAAATCTCAACTTTCATGAACTTCTCATAAACAGGCATTTTAATTTATAAATCTTGATAACATAATTATAATTGAAAACAATGTAAAACTTGATCATGAATCATAATTCAATAATAGAAATATATTTAAATTATACCAATGTAGAAAATTAGGAATTTCATGCATTGGGTTAAACCCCATAGGTTCAACATATGAACTGCAATGATTTAGAGAAAGATTGGGCATGGGTGTAACGGATTCACCTATTCATAAACCTACATACCTGGGAAAGAACTAATTTTACCACTCTTTGATTGCCCAATGAAAGATTGAATAAAAGCTTGAAGAAAGCTGATGAGTCGATAATTTACCAACTCATTAGGCTCTAAAACTTGAGTTTTTGTTTCGTTCTTGAGTTGATTACTTAGATTTTATGATTTTTTTGCTTTTTTTTTGTGTAGATGACCAAATGTGAAGAAAAGAGCAAAAATGGAGAAAAAATAAGGGAGTGAGAGTGAATCAGCGATTCACAGGTGAAAACCGATGAGACGCTCGGTAAAGGCCGAACATCACTGCCTCAGAGGATTAATGCCACCGGCGGTTCGCGACTTGCCAATGGCGAGTTGCTGGTTCAGTTGCCGAAAGATACCCAAAGTTCTGAAAAATGGCTTGAAAACCCGTCGGTTCACGGATTGGCATCGATAAAACGCTGGATGAACTGCTGGTGTTCACTGGAATTGAGTAAGGATGCAAAAAAGATACCCGGCGATTCACGGATTGTAATCGGCGAACCGCCGGTGTCTATGCCGGTTCCAAATTGGTGCTCATGAGGGTATAATCGTCTAATACTGGAAAAGAGATAAAAATTGCCCTACTTTTCAGGATATAAGAAGATAAAGTACTTTGTACAGATATATGCAGAAGGGGAGATAGAAATAGAGATATTGAGAGAGAACAAATCTTACATCAAATCATTGTTTCCCCTTTTAGATGAAGAACATTTTCTAAGCTGAGATAGGGAGATTCTGATTGAAAATTGTAGAAAATACTCTGCTCTATTTCTTCTTTGTACTAGTAAGTTTCAGCTATTGTTGGAGATTATTTTGTGAAGTTGATTTTTCTACTCTTGCTATTAAATTCAATGATGCTATTGATGAATGTGTTTTTGAATTTCTTAATTATGAGTAGCTAAAATCATTAACTAGAATACTTAATTGGATTGGGTATTGCTAGAGTCATCTTCATGTTGTTCATGCAAGTGTAAATCTATTAGATTCTCGTCAATCTATAAAAGAAGATCCATTTCTTATGATATGGGTCTATCTATTCTTTCTGGATTGTTGCTTGTAAAAGAATAATTAAGTGTTGGAAGAGAATTTTGTAGTGGGCATGGAGAAGAGAGTGTGAAATTGGACTAGAAATATCTAAAATTACATTCTGATTCTTTATTAGTAGCTAATAGCTAGAAATTAGCGCAGTTGCTAATCCAAATCAAATCGACTTGAGCTAAATTGTGACTAGAGGTTTGACAAAACTCTAGTGAGAGGTAATTAGAAGGCTGGAAAGCTATGATCACCCACTTCTGGAGATTATTTACATTTGTTGAACTCATAAGATGACCTGGCATGTCCGATCTAGTTAGTATTTCATCTATACCGCACCTCTAGTCTTTCACATCCTTGTTGACAACTTAGCTGATCTTGCTGTTTTATTTCACTAAATCAACCAATACAATTCTCTAGAAATTTTAACTGCCCCAATTTTATTTGTTTTTATATTAAATCTACATGGTGCAAGCTAACGTGAATTTCTCAATCGATACTTGTAACTATCATTCCCTAGTCCTCGTGGGGTTCGATCCTGACACTCATCGGGTTATGTTTTGATACTTTGTCCATGTATATTTGATCGTGGGCAAAATAGCATGTCCAAGTGATACTTTATAACTTAGTTTTACCTTGTTTATCTAATTAATTATAGACATTTTCATGTAATTTTATATAAATGTGAATATAGGTGCTAACCAACATGATTAGTCCTTGTTTTGTAGGTTTCAATGCTTTTGAGGAGCTAAATCATAAGTTGGTGAAGGAAAGGAATGGAGTCGGAAGCAACGGGCGAAAGTCGACAAGGAGTAGGCCATGGCAAGGCTGGCCGCGCCAGGCAGCGTNGTCATGAAGTTCTAAAGCCATGCATGACCATGTATTAAATAAGAATGATTTCATAATGAACGCTTGTGATCTTTTCTTACCCTTAAAGGCTATCATATATGTATGACTTGTTCTGAAAGACTATTATTGCTCTAGCGGTTTTACTTACCTTGCATACTTGGTACATTCCACGTACTGATCGCATACTTTCTGTGCTGAATCATTTCATGATGCAGGATCGGGTTCTCAGGTTCAACCCCGTTCGTAGCTTCTTATCAGAGTTAGAATTTGCTTGCTTGCTGAGTCCTCATCCTTCGTGGACTAGACTTTCAGTTATTTTGAGCATATTTCCAGTTTCAGTATTTCTGAGCTAGTTGGGGGTGTTGTCCAATCAGCTCGTCCAGATTAGAGGCTTATCAGACATAGATATGTATTCAGCTTCTGATGTTCATTCTGATGTTATGTTAAGTTAGACTTCTGCTGAGTTTATATTTATATTTCCTTCATGTTAATTGAACGAGTTAGTGAATGCTTATTCCATGGGTTGACTTGGGGTCTCTCGGGGTCTCTTGTCCCGTCTCTACGATCCGGGTCCCCTCTCGGGTCGTGACAAACATGGTATCAGAGCAATAGGTTTGAAGTGTCCTAGGGAGTCTGAAAACCACATTAAGTAGAGTCTTTCTCATGGGTGTGAAGCACGCCACACTTATGATGAAGAGGCTACGAAACGTTCTAGGAAATATTCCCATCTTTCATGACCTATGTCGTGTGATGAAGAGTCTTTCTACCCCTCTAATTCATGCTATTCGCGATTGTATAAT